CATCTTTCTCCTGTGGAATGGCTTGTAGTTTCGAATTGCTGACCTTGAGGTTAGCAGCCTGAATCATAACCACTAAGTTACCAGAGCACCTTCGCCATTACCTTGTTGTTGTTGTTGTTAAGTGCTGTCAAGTTGGTTCCTACCCATAGTGACCCTGTATAGGGTTTCCGAGGAGTGATTGGTGAGCTTGAACCACAGACCTTGCTGTTCAAACTGACTTTGCAGTCCAGTGCATTAACCTATAGCGCCACACCAGGACTCCATAGCCATCACATTGGTGGTGGTTATGTGCCATGAAGTCGATTCCGACTCATAGTGACCCTGTATAGGGTTTCTGAGGCTGTAAATCTTTATGGGAGCAGAAAGCCTCATCTTTCTCCTATGGAACAGCTGGTAGTTTCCAACTGCTGACCCTGAGTTTACCCAATTCGTAACAACCACACTACCAGAGCTCCTTAGCCGTCACATTTGTTGTTGTTAAGGACCACGGAGTTGGTTCCGACTCATAGTGACCCTGCACAGGATTTCTGAGGCTGTAAATCTTTACGGGAGCAGAAAGCCTAATCTTTCTCCCGCAGAACGGCTGGTAGTTTTGAACTGCCAACATTGAAGTTAGCAGTCCAAATCATAACCACTACGCTACCAGAGCTCCTTAGCCATCACATTAGGGGTCAGTTAATTAAATGTTTGACCAAATATAGCAGGCTAATTTTTAAGTTGATAATTTTGTATGGCTTGTGAATGATGCTATAAATATTCAAAAGGCCCTTGGCAGAAAAAGGCTCTCCACCCCTGTTGCTGAGATACAGCACATACTGGTCAGCCCACCTGCAGGAAAGGGTCGCTGACTCCAGATACGCTATGTTCTGTGGAGTATCCTGATGTCACCAAAGTCCGGAGGATCTGCACCAGTTGGGGTACCACCTGGAGGGAGGGCACAGCCTTGTCTGGGCATTCTTCCTAGCCTCTCAACCTTCAGTCCCACCGCCCCTCTTTTCCTGGCTCAGGGTCTGCTCCTTCACCAGCCCACCTTTCGAAAGTGCCCAAGGGCTGCAGGGCTTCGTTCGCAGAGCTCCGTGATCAGCGTGATGGTGCCCAGAAGGATGCCTGGGGTCAGGGTGGGGGAAGCAAAGGATGGGCCAGGGGCAAGGAAGAGTCTACTGCCTGTGTGTGAGTGCTGCCCTTCTAAGTGCCAGTATTCCTAGCACAATTTTCACCTCTTCAGTCCACAGCCAGAGCTGAGGCAGGGGATGGGGAGTCCCATGGCCTTACCGTGGTGGCGCTCATGAAGCAGTTGGGCACAGGGTGGGAGGAAGATGTTGGAGAGCTCAGGGACCTTCCGAATCATGTGCACCGCAGTCAGAACAGCCTGCAGAGGTCAGGGAGCTCAAGACAGGGCAGGTGTCCACCAAATTCCACGGCAAGCCACTACCACATGGCAGACAGGATGGTTTCTTAGGGGCTAGTGCCTAGAGTCTTGCCACCTCACCTTCTTGCGCACATAGGGGCTAGGCTGCAGGAGCAGTTTCTCCACCTCTGTGGCCAGGTCCCGGCACATCTCAGCAGAGCCCATAGTGCTCAGAGTGCACAGGGCCAGACCTTGTACTGGCTGAATCCCCTGGTTCAGGTCACTGCAGGGTTGGAAGGAGGGTCAATCAAGCCTGAGAAAAGCAGTTATTCCTAGTACCTACACCAAGGCAGCCCCTTGGCATCTCCTAGTTGTCTGCTTTCCCATCTCCCTGACTCCAAGTACTTCCCAGAACCACCCCCCGCCCCGGCCCTCTCACTTCTTGATGCTGTTGGTAATGAGTAGGTGGGCATCTTGCCTCTCGTCCAGTAGAAGCATGGCCCCCAGATAGCCTACCCTCTTGTCTGAGAACCTGGGGGAGGCGATCAATTTCAGGCACTCCATCTGGGAGGGAAGGGGTGAAACCAGAGTCACAAACATTCCTGCTCCCTCTTGCTCAACACCAGATTGATTTGTGGGACATGACATCCCATCACCCTCCTTTCAACAAGACCTGAGGCTTAGGTGATTCAGGTGTTAGTGGGCAGGTACAAGGAACTAGGACTTTCGGGAATAGGAGCGGAGAGGATAAGGTGTCTTGAATGAGGCTGGTCAGAGAATGAAGGGTTCAGGCCACTTCTTCACCAACGGGGGGCGGGGTGTGATGGGAGAGATTTGAGGTGCACGTTGTGAGGGCTGAGAGATTGAGGAATGACAAATTCGAGGCACAGGTGGGTGAAGTGGTCTTCCTCTTCAAACTCAAGAGGGAGGCGTCTCTGCTCCATACCTGTCCAAAGTGGGCAGGGTAGCCCAACATGTGGACGTAGAGCAGTTTGGCCAGTTGGCGGTGCCGGTGCAGAGGGTCCCCATCCCGAAAGGAGGCACGGATGTGTGCGCACTCCTTGTGGATCACCTCTCGCTCCTGGGCCTGGGTCTTGGCCCCTCGAATCTCCTCTATAAGATCCTGAAGCTTCAGCGAAGGCGTCATCATCCTGGGGGCAGAGCCCAGGAATGGAGAAGGCTTTAGCATTCTCTAGTCGTGTATGCCTGGCCTTTCTGCCTAGGTTTACTCTGTGCCAAGACCCTGCAGTAATGTGTCCAACTGTTATTCAACAACTGAGGCCACTTTTACCTGTCCCCAGCAGGGACTCCCCTTAAGTACTTAGGGGACTCCTACTACGCATGCGTCCGCCACCCGCTCCCATCCTTACTGAGCATGCGCCAGAGCCCCTCCTATTTTTCTCCTTTCCGCAAGCACACACCTGGTTACCCATCCCTACCTTTCCTTTTGGGTCCCCGCACTTCTTCTTCCGTGGGATTCCACCTCCCATTTCTATCTCAGGCAGCCTCAGATTCCTTACCCCAGGAGCAGCCCTTTACACCAGCCTCACCTGACTCCTGTTTCAACTTCTCGCTTCTCTTTCCCTCTAGCGCTTCCTGGTACAGGGCCGACCAACGGGCGGTGCTTCGTTTAGCACGTCCGTCTCTCCGCCTCCATCACCCGACCCCGCCCCTCCTTGTAGAGCTCTTTAGACTCTTTATGACACTGAACTTCGTGCTTTGGAGTTTAGGGGAAGCAGCTTTTATCCGCAGCAGAAAAGTTGGGCTCCCCAAGAGGGCTCCTCGTACAGCATCACTACCCAAAGAGCCTCAGCCTGGGTTTGAAGCCATCGCACCCCAAAGGACATGACAATCCCCCCCCTTTTTTGAACTTTTTTATTAATATATTTTTTGTTAAATTTCTTTTTTTTGTTTTTTTGTTTTTTTTCCTGCAAGACTTGTTGTTGGCGGCACTGTTGTAATTTAACTTCAATCCCAAATTCCATGAAATAGAAATCAGAAGTAAAGGTTGAGAGGGGAGGAAGGAGAGAGGCAGGCCAAGGAATAAACAGAGTTTGACTAGAACAAAAGAAGAGGGTGTATGTGGTGGGCATTCCCAGGCAAGGCCATTCCTTGAGGGAGGGGACTGGCAGGCAGCTTGCCTCTGCCTCATGCAGGGGAGGGATGAAAGAGCCCCTGGGAGTCCTACTGGCCCCACTTCCTAGAACTTTCTGCCCCCAGGGGAAAAGGTAGTACTAGAGATCAGGCACAACCTCAAACAGGGCTCTCCACCCACCTCTCACCCTAGGTTTGACTCTTACCTCTGCCATGCCTGGTAAGTATGTGAGGGGTCAACTTCTTTTGATCCCCTCCTTCTGTAGTCTTCCCATTTCACAGATTCTGATGCGACTGATTTGTTGTTAAGTTACTGTTAAGTGCCTTCGAGTCAGTTCTGACTCATAGCGACCCTGTATAGGGTTTCTGAGGAGTGGCTGGTAGGTTTGAACCACTGACCTCATGGTTAGCAGTTCAGTGCTTATCCTACAATGCTACACCAGGATGTGATGTGATGGGGGAAGAGTTATCACCCATTTTGAGATGACTAAACTTGTCACAGCTTTTGCTGCTCTGTGAGTTCCTGTTGTCTGGTTCCATCTCCCAGAAGTGCCTCCCCCTCACCACAACTGATAAGAGTTGGGGAGTGAGACCCTTGCTCAAGTGCCTCTAACCCTTTGCAGTAGAAATGCGTTCTTCAGGTCCCTTAGGAATGTAATCAAAGGCCACAAGTGAGTCCAGACCAACCAAACTTTCAGAGGGAGACAGAAGGGTGGAAGAGGTCAGTGGCAAAATTAGGGAGGGAGTGGACTTGGTTGCACTGGATACTTTTTGTTCCTTTATACTTGCTCTTGGCATGCCACCATAGGGGATTGGAGGTGAGGCTGGCTGTTGAGGAAAGAACGAGGGTGATGTTTGGGAGCCCTTCTGTTTTTCACTTCCCATATCTCCCTCAGGGAAAGACTGAGTTAGGCACGAACCTAGCTCAGTGCTTGGAGGTAAGGTAAGATACTCCAAGAGGAGGTGGAGGTTGACGTCCAATTTTTGACTAAGCCTCAGAGGGACACACCTAGCTCAGTGCTTGGAGGTAAGGTAAGCTACTCCAAGAGGAGGTGGAGGTTGACATCCAATTTTTAACTAAGCCTCAGAGGGACACCTGGCCCCTTGGGGTCAGGGAGTGACAGCAGCTCAGCATTCAGTCACCCCTTCTCCACTTTCTTCCCCCTTTTCATTCCGTTTCCTTCCAGGAGATTCCTCAAGACATCAAACCCCCATCCTCAGTGAAGTTTTGGGCTAAAGAAAGAGGGAGGCATGGGGCAATGGTCTGACTTGATTTGTGTGTCTCAGAGAAGAGAGCAACTCTGAGAGAGAAAAGCCCTTCATATGTAAACAATCTAGAGAAAGAGAAGGGGTTGGGGTGGGGTGGGGAAGGGAGTGAAGAAAAGGGAGACAGATTTAGAATAAATGAGATCATCTGAGAGAGGGACAAAGAAAAACAAAGGGGGATAGAAAAGGAAAAGAACAAGAGAAAATACAACCAAGAGGAGGAAAAGAGAAAAAGGCAGGTGTAGAGGGTGAAGAGGCAGAACCAAAGCCAGAAATAGGCCAGGAAGTAGCCTCAGGTAAGGAGCTGGGAGAACAGGAATGCCAGGCTGAGGTCCAGGAGGGCCACGGCTCCCACCACCAGGAGGTTGGCAGCTCCCTAGAGAGACAGAGGAAGGCAGACTCAGTCTCTGAGGATCAGGTCCAGCTCTAGGTTCCTTCTTCCTGGGGATAGAGCTGTTCAACCTAACTTAAAGAGTCCCAGGCACCAGGCACCTTACGCCCTTCTCCCCTCCTCTCCTTGCCAGAAATGTGAGAGTGCTCCAACTTTTGTTTTCCACTGCAAAACATCCCTCTTCTCCCATTCATGGGCCCATCTTCCCACTGGCACACACAATGTACGGAGAGCCCTTCCTCCTTCCCCGTTTCCCTTCCTCCTCATCTCTCCCCTCCCACTAGCATGTCACGTGGCCCAGGCAAGAGTTGCTTGGCTCTAGTAGCAGACTTTGGCAGCAGCAACTGTTACTGCAGTAAGGCAGAGAGATGTAGGGGTGAGGATGTGGTTGCTAGGAAACAGGAGAAGACCTGGAGTCCAATCAGAGTAGCGGGTTCTGGAGAAACTCCGCCCCTCCTGGTTTTCAGCAGCCTTTCCTATTTCCTGTCTTCCCAGGAGAGGGGGACAGTCATGATAGGGAGGGAATAATTTTTTCTTTTTTTATTTCTGGGTACCAAAGAGAGAAAGTGCGGAGGTAGGAGTGGGGGTGGAGTAGGAAATTGGGAGCTGGAAATGGTATGGAAAGAGGACAAGGAAAGATGTTCTAGCTCTTCTATTAATTATTGGACAAGTTACTTTAAGTGCTCTGAGCCTCAGTTCCCTGAATTGTCAAATGAGGGAGTTGGACTTGAAGATCTTTAAGATTGTTTCCAGCTTGAAAGTTCTCTGGTTTTTTTTAGGTTGGTATATAATCCAAGACTGGGCAGGCAGAGAGGAAGCTGTGTCCAAATCAGAGTCTGTCAGGGGATCAGACAGGTCTGGAAAGGGTGAGAGGAAAGGTTTTGAGGGGATGAAGGGTTAGGAAGGAGCTGAGACTCAGAGGGCACAAAGGGTCTCACCGGCTGGGCAGGCCTCTCGGTTGCAGCAGGCTCCTCGAGTTCTTCCATCAGGCGTCCAGCATCAGGACCCCTGGAGGATGTGCCCCTCAGGGCTGGAGTGGCTACGGACCCAGGCTCCAAATCTCCTGGGGCCTTTAACTGGGACAAGGGCTCTTCATCTTCCCCCTCCTCCTCTTGAAGACTTCCTGAACTGTCACTGCAGCCTCCAAGGAGTGGGGAACCGTCTCTGGGCCCTAGCCCCTGCATCCCGGCCTCGTCCTCAGCCTCATAGCCAGCTAGTTCCTCTGCTTGTTCACCTGGCCCCCCCCACTCCTCAGGCCAAGCTTTGGGGCTGGAGAAGGGACCCCGTTCCCTTCCAGGAGACAGTGGGCTCCGGCAGGCAGGGGGTCGCCAGGGTTGGCGAGAAGAGGCAGGACTGCTGGGCAGTTCAGGGGAGCCCTCTGAGGGGGTCAGTCCATTCTCGTATACCCCAGGGCTGTCCTCATCCAAGGGCTCTGTGTCGGATCCTTCTGAATCCTGCCTGGGTCTGCGGCCTGGGGCAGGGACAATTCAGAATCAGAGGAGCTTAACTGGCCCTGGACTGGAGAAGTTAGTTTTTTACCCCGTTATTGGGTATCCCCGAGCCGATAGCCTCTCACTGCCAGCCCCCAACTCCCCCTCCTGCATCCTTATAACCTTTCATCACATATTCTTGATCTTATTTCCCAAACAGCTGGGCCTGGCCCTACCCTCCATCCACTTAGAACCTCATACCTTGGTTATTCCCATCCCTGGGAGTCCTTACAGCACCCAGGCCAGTCCTGTTCCCCAAGGGGCTCATCCCCCCACCTCTAGGCTGCCCACACCTCACCTGGGGCTTCTAACATGGGTTGCAGGTCCTGGGCTATCAGTTTGGCCATTCTAGCTGCTTCCACAGCCTTTTCGGCGACACTGCTGGAGGCCACTGCTTTTAGGAGGGCATCTGCTGCCCTGTGGGTCCAGAAATGGAGAATTAGAAGACCTTCCTCTACTTCAAAGGAGCTCCTGCTCAGTTGCTTCAGACCCCGCCCCACATTGCACCACACCACAGCCTCCAGCATCCTTACCCTTCCTCAAATTCGATTAGCTGCTTCCCTTCCCCAGCAGGTGAGGGCAGCTCCCTTCAGTTTCCTGTTCCAGATGGGGCTGAGCTTACTGTTATCACACCTTCCTGCTCCTCTCACCCTTCTGCCATTATGTCCTGTAGTAACACTTCCCGTTTCCACTCCTGTTCTGTTTCTTAGCTCATCCTTGTGGAGGTACGCCTGCTTGGTGCTTTCAAGCTAGGCCTGCTACCCTCTTTGCTATGGGTACTTTGTGTTTTCATTGACTCTTCTCATTGCCCCTCTTTGGATCACATACTTCCCTGTGGGATCCAGGGCATTTTTCTGGACCGTGCTATCCTGCCCTCCTAGCAGCTGTACCACTCCCCCACCCCCTTGCTCTGGGGCCGCCCGCCCTCTCCCCTGTGGTAAGAACCTTTTCCATTACCATTCCATCTTATTATTTAACCCTACCTTTTCCAGGGCAAATTTCCTGACATGAGAATTTTACATCTTGATTTCTGCATTCTCTTCTGTTATCACATCCTTCTCCCCCTCCATCACTGCCACTGCCCCACTTCACCCTTTCCTGAGTTCTGGAATTGGAAAAAGGGTGGATCCCCCTTTCTGCTGTTATCATACACCCTCTCTCTGCTAAGATGCATGCTTTATAACCATTGGGAGTTTACCTTTTGGATAAGCTCTTAGTCTCCTGCACAACTCTCATCTCATTCTACCCTGCTTCTGAGGTACAGGTAAGCAGGAAGCATTATTAGTCCTTCCCCCAGTGCTGCTTCTCAGCTCACCCTCTGATGTCAGATGCTTCCTTAATTTTTTTCTCTTCCCCTTTCCCCTCTGCTATTAATTGCAGATGCCTCATAATCATTAAATTAGTTATTTTGACTGAAGGTGAGACACAAAGAAGCAGCAATAGAGGTAATAAGATGCACTTGCCATGGACGTGAATGGATCCAGACCCTTAACTCCCTCTGGTGACAGGCCTGTTTCATCTGGGAAGGCAGGCTTGTATCAGGGGAGTGGGGAGAATGGTGATGTCCACTGTAGCATTGGGTCCACCTCTTGGGGAGACATGGTTAGCCCTTTCCCCTTAAAACTGGTGGGCCAAGAACCTTTAAATCTGTTTAGAAAGATCTAAGATGACCCTGTTCTGTCTTAGGGTTTCCAAAGCCTGTATGACAGCCCTGTTCTGAAACTGAGATTGGGGCAGGATATGAGGATCACAGTGTTGGGTTGCACTGTGTTCCTTGCTGGCCATGAAACTGGTGCACTGATAAGAGTCTTGTTCTTGTGTAAAGAGGCTACGGATAATCAAGTGGTAGGCATTAGATTCAGTCTATCCTCAGGCATCAGGCCAGGCTCAGACTACCTGGCACAGGCACCTGCTGCTGAGGCTCTGCTGTTTCCATGGTAACCAACAGCCAATCAGGGTTGCCAGGCCTGTTGCTGGGGAAACCAACCAGCCTCCTCCCACTGCCTGATTCTCTAGCTACAGAGATCAGGTTTTTCTTGCACATCCCCCCTCCCTCTCTAGCCCAAAGTGTTTCTGGTGCTTTGCATTCCTCCTTCTCTGGCTTAAGAAGCTGGACTTTAACCACTCAGACAGCAGATACACCTAAAGATACACATTCTCTAGACTTGACATGTTCATATTCACTCACACACACACAACCTGCCACTGAAGTATCTTTAGACATATTCTGATCTGCACCCTCTCAAACAGTCCCAAATTTACACAAAATCCCTCAACTGTTACCCTCCTACCTTTTAAAAGAAAATCTAATGTGTACATATTCAGGTGTGCGAAGGTATAAATCAGGGGTCTGTGAATCTCATTACAAACGGCTTTTTAACTCCCATTATATCTGCGTTCTTTAATTCAACAGTCACTGGCCATATATGACGCTTAAGCACTTGAAAAGTGGCTCATCTGAATTGAAATGTGCAGCAAGTGTGAAAGACACCAGATTTCAGACTTAGTTTTAAAAAAAGTACATAAAATAGCTAATTAATAATTTTATAGTGATTACATATTGAAATTTTTTGGATATATTGGTTTATAACTAAAATTTAAAATTAATTTTACTTGTTTCTTTTAACTATTTAAAACATGTTGCTACTAGAAGAATTAAAATAGCATATTTAGTTTATATTATATTTCTATTGGGAAGCATTGTTTTTGATAGTAAGGGTTTTGATATATGGGAATGTAATATGGTTCACAGAGAGAAAATGTTATTTACAGACAAATGTTCAGAAATTTTATTAGCTGGGTAAGGGGATGCAGGTGAGGAAAGCTGGAGGAACTATCATTTCAGGATGGTGGGTCAACTATGCCAGACCTGTCCCCAGAGCCCAAAGCTGAAATGGTATCAGACTATTTGGGGAGTCCGTGTGTCTGTCCTGAGCTGATGCTGTCTGAGCTCTGGAGATTGGATCAGTTGTGAGAAGAGGAAGACTAGGGACATGTGCTCTAAGACGCTTCTGCACCTGTAGGATATAATACACAGATCTACTCCAAGACACACCTATGGATTCTGCATACACGCCAGCTGTATTCCACAGACACATAGCTCCACAAAAGACACCGAGACACACGTTTACAGCCCTTTCCTCAAATACTCAGCCACCCATAGTTATACCAATAACCAACCAACCACCTGTAACCCCAATATAAACACTCCAAATATCCAGGGCTACAACTTCTTGGGCGTAGGTCTGCTTTTCTCCTTCACCAGGCACTAAACCATGAGCCTTGGTTCCCTTTCGTCTTTCCATATCCCCAGGGCACTCTCCCAGCTTTGGCCTCTGCACAGAGCCTCACACCCACCTGGCTGCAGCAATCTCTTGACGCTGTCGGGCAGCGCTCACGGCTCGACGGGCACCCTCGACAGCCCTGTCCACCTTCTCTTTGACTTTGCCCCGCCGAAGTGCCAGAGGCAGGAGGCTGCGGACACGCCCCCCATGCACCAGCCGGTTGCGCTTGTACTTGCCCTCCTCGCGGGAGCCGTCCGGGCGGGTGGTGCGCCCGTACCCGTGCCGCCGGTTGCCCAGCCATTCGCCCTCGTAGCGCAGCCCGTTGGAGCGCTGGCTCACGCCGTAGCCACTGCGCCGGTCGGCGCGCCATTCGCCGGCGTAGACTTCAGTGGCCGAGCCCTCGATCAGGGCGGGCGGGGCTGGGGCCGGGGGCCCGCTGGCCTCGGAGCCCGGAGGTCCTGTACTGCCCACCTCACTGCTCACCTCGCTGCGCAGAGAGCCCCGCTTACTGCCCAGAGAGCTGCGGCGCCCGCCGGCCCGGAGCCCGCTGAGCAGCAAGGAGCGGCGGAAGAATCCGCCGGCTGCTGGGGTGCGTTTTCGGGACACCACCCCGTCGGCGTCCCCAGGTCCAGCCAGCACGAAGCCACCTCGGGAGCCCGAGGCCGGGCTGCCTCCCTCGTCGCTCGGCAGGGGCAAGGGCGGAGGTGGCGTCGGAGGGTCGCTGTGGCCGGAGTCCAGGGAGGTGCGGCGGGGTGAGCGCAGCAGGGCCGCCTGGTGGTAGGGCACACTTTGGCGCACCCCGTAGCCGTGGCGCTTCCCGGCCTGCCACTGGCCTTGGTAGGTACCTGCGGGCGTGTTGGGGGCGGGGAGTCAGGATTTACCCCTACTTGCACCCCAGATCCCAAGCGCCCCTGGCAGTCAAAGTTGAGAGGTGGGCCAGTTAACTTGGAGATCCTGGAAAACCACTAGTTGGGACAGGCCAGGCGTGGAAGAGCAGAATGAAGGCAGGCAGGTAACAGGAGGGCCCTGGATTTTGGCGGTGTGGGTAGACAAGGGAAGGGGCGGGACAGGTGGACAGGAGAGCTATAGAACAGACAGATGGGTGAGCAAAGGACTGTAGGAGATAGAGGAAGTGGGATAGGCAGACCCACTAAAAGTGAGGGATAGGGGACAGGGGGCATGAGATGAGCATGTGACAGGCAAAACAGGTAGAGTGGGAAGTGTAGAGGGATAGGAAGACTAGGGAGGTATGGGGACAGACAGAAAGGGGTGGGGCAGAATGGTTGGGGGCAGGAAGAAGCTGGTAGCCTGGGGTCAAATAAGTGTGTATATGGGGGAGGGGGCGGTCAGAACGATGGGCGCGGACGGGGGTGTGGGGTGGCATAGGGATAGGAAAGGCATATGGGGCAGGCCGCCGGGGAGGCGCAAGCGAACTAGAAGACAGACGGTGAACCGAACTCGCACCTCCGTCGGAGTAGGTCTCAGTGCCGTAGCCGTCCTGGAAGCCGTCCTTCCAGAGCCCGGCGTAGCGCAGGCCGGACACGCTCTCCCACACGCCGCTGCGCCCCTTCAGCCCTCCCAGCCACTCGCCGCGGTACGTCCAGCGGCTCTTGCGCTCCACGCCCAGCCCTTCGCGCTTGCCTTGCTGCCAGTGTCCCTGATAGCTGTGTCCACCAGGCCCCGTGAAGACGCCCAGTGATTCGAAGCCGTGCGCCCAGCAGCCACTGTACTCGCCCTGGGCGCCAGGCCCGGTGCACACGCCGTAGCCATGTGCCCGCCCCGCCTCCCAGCCCCCCACGTAGCAGCCCCCGTCGTCAAAGTCGAACTTGCCCCCGGGGGACATGCATGTAGTTGGCGCGGCCTCGGCCCCCCGGCGGATCAGCGCATCCTGGGGCTGGGAAGCCGGCTAAGGGCCTAGGAGCCGGGCGAGGCCTGGGGGCGGGGGCAGTTAGACCGGGGCCGGGCGGGGGAGCCCCAGCGCGGGCAGGCAGGGCCGGACCCTCATCCTGAGTGGCTGCGGAGAAAGGGGGGGGGGGGAGTGTCAAGCTAGGCCCCTCCTCTTTGCCCGCCGCTCCCAGGCAGGGAGGCTCCGGGGCATGAGCGCCCTCCCCCCATCCCTCCGGCAACATCTTCCAGTAGCTCCCAGCTTTGGGGGCACTAGGGACTCCCCCTTCCTCCTGTAGAGGGCCCTTCCAAGGCGGGGGCCCAACCCCAAGCGCAAGTCCCACTTCTCCAACCCAGAACCCCAAAGTATCGAGTGCTTAGTGCCAAGTGTGGATGGTGGTTTGCGGTGGTGGTGGTGGTATCTCTGAGAGAGGCGACTGGGCAGGGTCGGAAGACACCCCCTTTCCGACTGATGCTGGGACGTCTATGCTCGGGTACTTAGGTTTCTTTTGGCAAAGCGGGGAAGGTAATGAGGGATGTTGAAAATTTAAGGGGGAGATCGGTGCAAGGTGGGCAAGGGGTTTGGTGGGAAAATGATGGGGATGGGGGCGACTGCAGGGAAAAGGCAAGGACAGGGATGGGCAGACAGGCGGAAGGGAGGGGGCAGGCTACTCACCATGTGGGCTGGGGCACGGGCTGCCTCCCAGGCAGAGCATCCATGGACCGATACCTCCACTCCCACTTCACCCAGGACAAGCCAAGCCCCCTCCCCTTCCGGAGAGACTGTTCCAACCCTGAGAGCGAAGGTGGGAGAGCCGAGGGAGAGAGGCCCCTCTCTCCCCAGCTCCAAGAGCAAGCTGGCGGCGGGGTGGTGGTGGTGGTGGGGGTGAGGTAGTGGCAGAACTGGAGAGAGATGAGAATAGTGTAGGGGAAAAAATCTGCCTTGGATGAAGATAGGGAAGAAGATCTGGAAGCTGGGTGGGAAGGAGGAGGGGGCTATCAAGAGGGGGTGTTTTATTATTTTTTTTCTTCTTATGGTTGGGGGAGGAAGAAAAATCAAAATTCCGATTCCATCCCAGCACAAATCAATGTTTGCTCCATCCCAGCATCACGGGGGAGGCTGGGCCAGGCAAATTTAAAGGGGCAGGGAGAAGATGGAAGAGGAGAGGGCGGCGAGAGGAGGAGATAAATGAAAAAGAGTCGGTGGCTGGGGTAATGGGGGAATACCCAGGTTGAAACGGATGGATGCCCCGCTAACCCTTGGGAGAGGGAGGAAGCAGATAGAAGAGAAGAATGGGAGGCACAGAGACCCCCCAAGGTGGCAAGAAACCCGAGGATGGGGGCAGGGAATGGGGTGAGGCCAGAGAGGGGAGAGGAGCGAGGGGGAGGAGACTGAGCTGAAGATGGGGAGGCTGGGGGAGGCCAAAGCCAGGCGGGGGAGGAGAGATGCTAACGGGCCTGCAGAGGGCGAGAGAAATACAAAGAAAGAGGTGCAGGGGTGAGAGCTAGGGATGGGGGAGATACAGCAGGAGAGGGAGGAAGGGAGGGAGATCCATTCTGGGGCTGGTGAAGGATGGCAAGAAGGAGAGAATCAGGGGAAGATGGCAAGGAGGAGAGGAGAAAGAGGGGGAAAGACATAGATATGGAGACAGAGGGAGGGAGAAAGCTCTCATAGAGAAGGGTATAAGTGGGTATCGAAATTCAGGCAGGAAAAGCCCAGATAGAGGCTCCTCCAGGACCGGAAGTGGTGTTGGTGGGGCTCTGGGAAGAAATGAGAAACCCAGAGCTTTAACCCTGCCAGCTGCTTGGATTGATGCCAGAAAGCCTTTGGGCATGGATGCCTGTGTTCATGGTCCTTCCTAAGGAAGCTTCTGAAGGTAGACCAAGAGGTTTACCTGGTTGTACTTTCTGAGGAAGCTTGAAATGGGATCCTGTCAGGGAGCCTGGCCCCCCCACCAATGCTTTTCCAGCCTTCATTTTTCCCCTCCCCCGCAAGTGTTTCTCCCTGGGTTGTCCCTGAGAAGGAGAGGGATGGGATAAGGGGTATGTTGTGTTTGAATGAGGAGCCATACCTGACATTACCGTGAAGATCCCGGAGCTTTGAACCTAACACTTCTCTTTTGCAAACCTAGAGGCAAAGATACAGAAATAAGTATTACAGCCTCCTCCAGCCCACCTCCATCCACCCACCAGAGGGACAACATATCCTTGGCCTTCTTGTTTCCAGGCCTTGTTGTAGGCACACGCTGCCCCTTCTCCTCAGCACATAGCATCCAGTTCCATCCCTGCCCCTAAGGAAAGACACCACTGTGTCCAGTTATACTCTGGGGAGTAAACTGTCAAATGCACTCAGTTACTTTTATTTTCATACAAAGTTGATTTTACAAAGAAGACAACTGAAGCCCAGAGGGGAAGTCACTCACCAGTAGTCACACAACAGAGGTGGCACAATTGGGATTGTTGTTGTTAAGTACCATGGAGTAGATTCCAACCCATAGCAACCCTGTGTAGGGTTTCCAAGGAGCAGCTGGTGAGCTTGAACTGCCAACCTTGCAGTTAGATTTCAGTTCTTTGAACCCAGCTGCTCTTACCAGGATTCCATGTACTTGGAAACCTCCCTTAGACTCAGGAACTCCATTTTGAGTACTTTGGTAAAATAGAGAGTACGAGGTTTGGAATAAACAGGCGTTTCCATGTACTGAGTTTTCTGAAAGGTAGATATGAAGTAAATTCTAAGCCTCCAGCAGCAGAAATCACATCTTTTAAGTGCCTAGCACAGGGCAGGGCCACAGGTGACACATTTGGGCCCAGTTGGGACTTAACTGCTGGTGGAGAGCCCATCCATCTATCATCCATCCACTCATCCATTTGTCCATCCATCAAACATTTACATGGTGTATTGAGTACCAGGCACACTGCTAGGTGATAGAGAAACAGAACACTGTGGTTCCTGCCCTCATAGAACTTACTACCTGTACACAGACAACTAAACACACAATTCTAGTGTGGTTAGTGCCAGGACAGTTTGTGGGATGGAAACAGAGAATAAGGATGGAACCTAGCTCAGAATGACTTTCAAGAGAAAGAAGTATTTAAGATAAATCCAGAAGGGAATTCTGGGGCAGATCCAGTTGCACCAGACTTTCTTGTTGTGGTGTTATGGGCTAATGCGCTGGACTGCAAAGTTGATTTGAACAGTAAGGTTGGCAGTTCAAGTTCACCAGTCTTTCCTCAGAAACCCTATACAGGGTCGCTATGTGTTGGAACCGACTGAAGGCACTTAATAACACTAACCTAGCCCCAAAGATTTCCTTTGTCTCCTAGAAGGAGGGAAAACAAGAAAAGCCCTATAGGTGTGGGGACACTTGTGACCTGTTCTTCAAGGAGATGAGGTGCCAGGGGAAAGCAGGAAGTGGGAGAGGATGGCTGGCTGGCAGAGTGTTCCTACTCTGTGTTTTGAGCTGCAAATGAAGGTGTAGAGCCTGAGGGAGGAACTGTCCTGGGACAGGTGGGGTACACAGTCCCAGCAAACCTATCCCCATCTCTGTGGGTCAGCTAGCTATCCAGCCCCTTCCTGGTCTGACCCCACAAATCCCACAATCCCCTCTTTCAGGGTACAGACACTCTTTTTCAGATGTTGTGCTGGCTCAATGGTCTAAGTGCTCCAGAAAGGGACCTAACAATAAATGGAACAGTTCTGTGCCAGGCACTGTGTTTGGCACCCTGTCTGCATTACCTCATGCAATCCTTACAACAAAACTGTATGTGTGCGAAGTCCAGGATGGAGGCTTTCAAAGATGAACAGATTTATGTTTGAATTTTGACTTTACCACTTGCTAGTTGGGTAAATCTGAGCATCTTATCTAACTGTGCTGAGCCACAGTTTGCATATCTTTAAAATGGGAATAATATATGATTATATACGAATGAAACATATGGTAGAAAAACCCCACTTGGCATAGTGGTTGCTATTGTTGTTAAGTGTTGTCAAGTTGATTCCGACTCATAGAGACCCTGAATAGGAGCGACTGGTGAGTTTGAATTGTCTGTCTTGTGATTCAAATGACAGTGCCTAGGACATAGTAAATACCCAGTACATGGTGGCTTGAAAAATAGGTTAGCATCTTACCAGTTTTATAGGTGAGGAATCCGAGACCCAGAATTAAGTTAATTAATTAATTTGCCCAGTGTTGCATAGCTAGCATGTGGCAGCCCCTGGATTTGAATAGATATCAGACTCCCAAATTAGCATGCTTTAACAAGTGCAGTTTTTTTTTCTTGTTAATAAATGTAAAACATGATAACTGTAGAATTAAGGAAATAAAGTACAGGATGAAAAATTTAAAAAATCACCCACAGTCTCACTAGATAATATACATTTTATTATATTTTCATATAGTTTTCTTTTATTTAACATAATTAGTTAAGTGCTGCATATGCATTTTTGTATCCTACTTACTCATTTAGCATTACATTATAAGCATTTTTCCATGTCACTAAAATGTCTTTGAATTTTTAATGGCTATATAATATTCCACTATTTGGATGCACCATAATTTGTTGAGCCATTCTAGCATAGCGTTTTTATGTTGCTTTCAATTTTTTTGCTATTAAAAATTAACATCCTTATACTTTTTGTTACAAATGAAATTTCTGATGACTTCATTAAAAATCGTTTATCATGGAAAATTTCAAGCATCTACCAAAGTAGACAAAATAGAATAAGGAACTCCTGTATCTCTATCACCCAGACTCAGCAATGTGTACTCTTGGATAATCTTAATTTCCTTTCCTTCTCCTTTATTCTTTTTTTTCTTAAATGTTTTATTGTGAATTATGTGATAGTTTACATGGGAGAACATTGGTTTTACATTCATTCTATCGATATATATCGTCTCATTGCCATGGTTACAATCCCCTCCATGCATCATCAACCAATGAAAGGGTATACCCTGCAATCCTTCCCCCATACCCCCCAGGTCTTCAGCACACAGTCGCTCTCCCTCTCTGGATCTAAAGTCTCCAGCTGCTCCATCGCTCCATGTCATCATCTCTGCC